GTCTCGACGGACCTTTTGCTGACTTTTGGTAGGTTGAAAATTTTGTTCTCGAAATTCAACAATTCGTTTGAGCTCTAGTATTTTTTCCCGTGATATTCGATCTCATTCCCGCTCGCCATCTTGATCTCAGCTCGATCGGGTACCTTTTACTGCCAATGCGGCGGGATCGGCCATTTCGAGTCATCTTGATACGCGCTAACGGTATATTGAACTTAACGCGAGATACAGGGCAGCTACAGAGCTGGTAAGCACATCATCGATTCAGAATGATCAGGCGCATTCGTCTGTTGCATCCAGAGGTCTGAACTCGGTCTGCTAGCCGAGCTAGGTCCGCAAACCTGTTCGTATTCTTCGAGTCATCTTGAGAGGCGCTCTCTGTTTTCTGTACTTAACTCGAGCTATATGACAGCTACAGAGCTCATACTTACAGAAACCGATTCATAATTATCAGTCGCGTTCGTCTGTTGAATCGAGAGCTCTGAAATCGGTCTGCTGCCCGATCTAGAATCGCGAAACTATTCGTATTGTTCGGGTCATCTTGAGAGGTGCTGTCGATTTTCTGTACTTAAATCGGCTGTAGGCAGGCTACACTGGTAGTCACATGAATCGGTTCGGAGACATTAGGCGCGTCCGCCTGTCGAATCCAGATCTCGGAACTTGGTCTGCTGGCCAAACTAGGTTCTCAAAACTATTCGTATTGTGCGAGTCATCCTGAGAAGTGCTGTCGGTTTTCTGCACTTAGCTCGGGCTGTAGGGGGGCTGCAGGCTGGTAATCACAGGAATCGATTCGAAGACATCAGTCCGCCTCTCGCACAGTCTGCTACTCGAGCTAGGTTCGCGCAACTATTTCTATTGTTCGAGTCGTCTTGAGCCATCGATTTACGCAGGTAACTCAGGCTGTAGAAGAGCTACAGAGCTCGTACAGAGGACAATTCAGAGCATCGGGGGCGCTCGGCTGTTGCATCGAGAGGTCTGAAATCGCTTGGGCTGAAACTACTCGTTCTCTGCAGTTTTTTTCCGATATTATATATTGTCAGGAAGCTCTACGAGTCCCCCGGCGGTAAGAAAGGTTGACGGTTTGCCGCCGGCGCCCAGTGTGATGACCTGGGGTTGTTTTTTCGGATATTTCGGCAGATTTTGAAATTCGTTTTGGGAAGCAATATTTTTGTAACGTAGAGTGGGTTGTGCCGCGTTCGCCTGTCGAATTCCCAGGTTCGTAGCTGGAATATTACTATCAAAAAACGTGGAGGAACAATGGGCTGTGGAAATACATTTTTTTAAATGAGTATAGAATATGTTTTATTTTCTAAGCTCATGCTCTAAATTATTTGTCGGATCTGAAGGATTCCGCGATTCCAGAGCTCTACGAGAGTCCCGGCGGTAACTTGGTTGACGGTTTACCGCCGGCTCCCAGTGCCAATAGGTTCGTGGACGTAGCTCAAGGAGCAGACCGAGTTCAGACCTCTAGATGCGACAGATGAACGCGTCTGATGATTCTGGATGGGTTTATGTTAATACCAGCTCTGTAGCTGCCCTACAACTCGAGTTAAGTACAGAAAACCGACAGCACCTGTTAAGATGACTCGAAGAATACGAATAGTTTCGCGGACCTAGCTCGGACAGCAGACCGAGTTCAGGCCTCTGGATGCAACAGACGAACGCGCCTGATTATTCTTTGAGGGTTTCTGTTAATATCAGCTCTGTAGCTGTCCTAAAGCTCGAGTTATGTACAGAAAACCGTCACCGCGTGTCAAGGTGACCCGGAACGGCCGATCCCTCCGCAGTACTTGTTGGCAGTAGTATCTACCTGATCAACCTGAGATTTAGATGGCGAGAGGGAATGAGATCGAATATCACGGGAAAAAATATTAGAGCTCTAACGAATGGTTGAATTTCGCGAGCAAAGTTTTCAACCGACCAAAAGTGAAAAAAGTCCGTCGATATTTTTCTTGCCCACTAGCTCTCCAGCGCCCCGGAAGTACTCTTAAGCTTCCAGCAACTAGCTAAGGGAAGCTCTACGAGTTACTAGCTCCACCCTGCGCCCGCATTCCTCTTAGCTCATCTTGCCGAGAAGCTCTACGAGGTATGAATGGTCAAACATCTTTCAAATCAAAGCAACATCAACCCACATGTGACACATTGTCTCTTTCAGTCGGGTCGGCCAATAAGCTCCACCCCGCGCCGGAATTCCTCTAGCTCATCGATGCCGAAGAGCTCTACGAGGTATTCCGGCGCGGGCAGCAGCTAGTGCCTCCTAGAGCTCTGATGGTAGAAGAGCTATAGGAATTCGGCGACGGGGTGAAGCTAGTTGGCGAAAGGTCGAAAAGGGACGCGATCATTCCTTCCGCGGCTTGGCTCAGCCGACTGGACGCTGGCGGTAAACCGTCAACCTTTCTTACCGCCGGGGGACTCGTATAACTTCCTGACCATATATTATGTCCAAAGAATAAGCAGAGAACGAATAGTTGTCCAGCACACACCGCTCCAAGACGGCCTAAGACGCTCCCAAGAAGGCTGCCAGACGGCCCAAGATGCCCTCAAGACGGCCCAAGAGGCCTCCACGACAGCTTCAGGCGGCTCCAGGAACGCTCCACGAGGACTTCCAGAGGATGGTCAGGGGCCTATATTTCGGTGGTTTGCTTTTGGTTTCAGAAGGTTTTTCGCGTTCTCGCCTGTTCGGCTTCCCGACGCTCGAAGACGACCCAAGACATCCCAAATATCCCGCCAAGACGGCCTAAGAGGCCCCCAAGATAGCGCCCGGACGGTCCAAGACGCCCTCAAGACAGCCCCAGCGTTCTCCAAGACGGCCTCAGAAGGGCTGAGGAACGCTCCCAGAGAGCCCCTAGAGAGGAGGCAGGGACCGACATTTCGGGCTCCCCGCCCGAAGAGAACCCCAGGAGGCCCCAAAAGGCCCCCGGGAGACCCCCAAGAGGCCTCCAAGAGGCCCCGAAAAGCTTCGAAGAGGCCTCCAGGAACTCCCCAGAAGCCTCCAAGACGGCCCCAAGACCCCCCGAGAGAACCCCGCGATGGCTGGTGACGCCCTGACAAAGCGTCACAGCCCCAAGCGTACAACACGGGAATCAACGTGTCGCGCTCTATGGGCATCTTCTTCTTTGCTGTTCTCTTCCTCGAAAGTCACGCCCTCTTGTCCTCCAAGAGATTTCCCAAGAGACCCCCAAAAGGCCAAATTCAATGATTTCTTTCAGTTCTTGCAGTTTTTCTCTGTTTTTGGCTTTCCGGCTTCAGAACGCTCCAAGGCGGCCCGAGAGACCCAAAATAGTCGCCCAGGAGGGCACCCAGACGGTCGAAGACGCCCCCAAGACAGCCTACGATGCCCCCAAGGCGACTTGAAACGGCACCAGGAACGCTTCAGGAACGGCCCCAGGGGGGGGCAGGGACCGACATTTCGGGCTCTCCGCTCAAAGAATCCCCAGGAGGTCGTAAGAGGCCCCAAGAGGCCCCAAGAAACCTCCAAGAAGTTCCCAGGAAGCCCCCAGGGTCCCCCAAGAGGGCCCCAAGACTGGCTTAAGAGGGCCCCGAGATGGTCGGAGACGCTCCAGGGCCCGAAAACAGCCCAACACGGCTCCAATATGGTCGGGAAAGCCCCGACAAAGTAGTGCAGCATCAAACGGACAGCACGGGAACGAACATCATGCGCCTGAATGAGGCACAGCGTCATACGGACAACACGGGAATCAGCATCATGCGCCCTATAGGCATCCTTTCCTTTAATTTCCCTTCCTCGCAAGTAACGCCCACTTGTCCTCCAAGGTCGGGGTTCGTTACTTCGGCGCACTCCTCACGTGTTTCGCGGTTCCAGAGGGGGCAAAGGCCTCAGTGGCAGGGTTCGCTTGCGTCCCCGTTTCTCATGTTGGCACGTCCTTCACGCGTTTTGTTGCCCCATGGGGAGCTATGCGTGTGGCCCCAGTGGCAGGGTTCGCACACGCCCCCGTCCTGGATTTCGGCGCACCCCTCACACGTTCCGTGCCCGCATGGGATGGCAGTGTTCGCATGCGTTCCCGCCTGCCCAGTCGGCGCGCCCTTCGCAAGTTTCGTGGCCCCATCGGGGATGTCACCGAACGGCCCAGTGGCAGGGCTCGCGTGCGCTCCCGCCTAACATGTTGACACGACCCTGTTACGTTTTTTGGTTCCAGAGGCAGCTCCACCGAAGGCCCCAGTGGCGGGATTCGCATGCGCTCCCGCTTTGCATGTTTGCACACACCTTACATTTCGTCCCTCCATAGGGTGGCAGGGTTCGCATGCGTTCCTTCCGCCATGTTGGCGCACTTTGGACACGTTTCGAGACTCCGGAGGGAGCTCCAGCGAAGGGTTCAACGGCTGATTTCGGCAGAGCCCTCTCGTTTTTCGCATCCAAATCGTCCAGGAGGTTGGCCACATAATGTTCCCGGAGGGAACGCGAAAACGGCGCAGTGCTCCTCGGTGAGAGGGCGCCCGCGCTTACGTGCCACTGCGATCAAGCGTACAAGGCCGCTTCTATTCTTCATGCTCCTCATATTCCGTTGGCCTCTATTCCTGCTTCCCATCGCATAGTAATTATCACAGCGCTGTTTTATGATAGAGTTTCGCTGCCCAATGCCTTGTCATTCCTGCAGCGCGCTGCTTGCGAGGACTTGGGCTATCTCGTTTGAAACGTGGAGCTCGTTCGGTACTCGCAGGTGCATATGGTTGGGCCCTTTGCCAGGATGACTTTCTGTGGGGCTGTCGCTTCTGCCCCGGCTTTGGGCTGGGTCGGGCCAGGGCATAGGGGGCTGACGGCAGGGCGGGGGGCGCCGCGCGCGCGCGCAGCGCCTCCTGGGAGAGAGCGCGGCGACTCCGGCCCCCTCCCGCGGATCGAGCGCATTGGCATACGTGCGCGGCAAGAGCGCGATTTCATTGCCTTCTTCTCGTGTTCGCGGGAGGCGCGGGCCGCGCATCCCGCGCCCGCCAGTGGGGCATTGCTGTTTCGTTGTGCGGCCTGCTGGCACGAGCGGGAGGCGGCCATGGGCCTGCCCCGCGCTGCCCCGGGACGCCACCTGCTCAGCGAGGCCGCCAGCGCAGCGAGCGACGCCGGGGCACCAGAGGCGACGCACCGGCGCGCGGCCTGGGCAGGCGTGGGCGACGTGCGCCAGCATCCGCTGGGCAAGCGGCCAGCGCCAGGGGCCCATCCCTTCTTCAGCCGCGGGCGAACCAGCGGCGCGGTGGCCGCGGGCCTCGCCCGCGCAGTTTCTGCCCAGAGGCCGCTCGACATTCAAGCCGAACCGCCGCGATCGCGCGCCGCACCGCCGGCTCGCCTGGCAGCCGCGGAGCGAGTCGCAGCCAGCCCCCATGAGCGCAGGGGGCCGCCGCCCCGGCGCGCGAAACGCCGCGGAGGCCCCAGGCGTGCAGCGCCCGCGCCGCGGCGGAAGCGAAGGCGCCCGGCGCCGCAGCGGAAAGCGGGGCTCCCGCTGAGACCGCTCGTGCTTTGCTTCGCAGACAAGCGCAAACACGCGCTGCAGCAGGTCCTGCCAAGGTGGGCCGGGGTCCTGGACACCGTCGGAGGGAGCGCCCGGAAGCTGTCGAACCGCCTTGGCCCCGACCTTGGGCCGCGGCACCAGGAGTGGGTCCTGCGGCGCTGGTCGGCGCGCACGCTCCAGATACACGTGGCGAACATAGAGAAGTTTCTCGCGTGGGCGTCCGAAGAGCGCCCTGGCGTGGATCATAGCAGTTTCCAAGATCACGACGCGACAGCCGAGCTCCTCGTGAGGTACGTCATGGACCTTCTGGACGGGGGCGCCGCCCCCACAGTGCCCGCGGCACGGCTGGAATCCTTGCGATTTCTTAATCGCGCCGCTGGGCTGTCGCCACCGCTCCCAGCAGGCGAGGTCTGCGTCCAACACCTCGCGCTAGCCCACAGGCGAGAGGCCCCAGCAAGCGCGCGGCAGCCCCAGATCTACACGGTTGAACAAATCCGCATGCTCGAGCGGTCAGCCACGGCTTTGCACAGCCCCATGTACAGGGTAGCCATCCGCACAGAGTTACGCTAGCTGTTCGCCGCCCTGCAGAACGACGATGCAGTGTGGGACCGTTTCGGAGACTGGGTCCAGGAAGGCGATGCGTCCGGAGGCTGCTTGTATGGGACCGCGTACAAAACAAAAGCCACAGAGGCCGCAGCGACGCGCCTGCGAGGTGGCATGCCGTGGATTGCCCCGCTGCGCGGCGTGTCCCAGCCGCCCTCGTGCTGGGCCCGCGGCTACTCCGAGGACCTCGAGGAGCTGGGCCTCCCAGGGACGGCCGAATTCGCAGTCCCTTCCCCGCGGCGACTCGCCGCGGCAGCGGCACCTGGCGCGGATGGCCACCATGCGACGCGCCCTCAGGGCGGCAGGCCTTTCACCCAGTGAGGCCAAGGCCAGCGGCCTGCATTCTGCAAAACGCACCATCCTCACGTGGGCGGGCAGCAGTGGCATCTTCACAGACCGCGAGATCGAGGTGTTGGGGCACCACCGCTCCTCAGGGATCGGCAAAGTCGTCTGCGCTTGCAACGTCGCGGTGCTGGCAGCGCCGGTCACCAAGCTGCGGCAACTGCTCGAACACATAGTGCAAGGGGCGTTCAACCCAGACGCGCCCGCCGGAATGCAGTGGCGAGAGGGCGCCTACCCCGCCGCCCAGCCAGCGGCGCCAACGCTCGCCGCGGCCCCGCCACGCGAAAACCCCGAGGCGCCCGCCAGTGCGCCCGCGGCCGCGCCAGCCAACGGGCAGGCAGGCGCCGGCGCCGCGCCAGCGCCCCAGCCTGCGCCCGCCCACATCCCACGGGCGGGCACGCCGCCTACCGCGCACGCAGCAGCCGCCGAGCGGGCGCGCAATCCCGCGGAGCTGGCCCCGCTGGGCCCATTCAGTCGCCCCCCTTGCTGCGCCGCCAGAGGCAAGCCGCGGCCCGGAGGTGGGCGCCGCTGCGCAGCTGCCGCAGCTGCCGCGACAGGACATGGGTGCTCCGTGGTGCCGTCTGCGGGGGCAGGCACGCGGAGTGGGAGCAGCACCGTGGCCCCCGCGGTAGCGTGGCTCCCTGGAGAGACCGAGGCCACCTCAAGTGGAGCGCAGCGCCTCGCCAACAAACTCGGGTACCTCGTCGCCGAGACCGCCGGATTGTGCAAGCCGGCTGCGTATTATCACGCAGCGACCCCCGCAGCGCCGCCCTGCCCGCCCGCAGAGCAGCCGCGCAAGCGCCGCCGCCAGGAGCGCCTCGTCGTCGAGACGCCACACGGGCCGTCACGAACCTGTGCGATTTCGCTGTGGCCCAGGCGAAGTGGTCCCAGCAGTTGCCGGGGCCCACGTGCGAGTTCTGCAAGGTATGTAATTCCCGTTTGGGTAAACAGCGGTGAGGGCCGGGCCGGGGGTTGGGGTGGCCCAAAGCGCGTGCGAGACTGTGTTAGAGCGGCGTCAAGAAAAGCCCGGGGGGGCCCAGTGAGGTCCCCGTGGCGGAGCGCCCGCCGACCGTCCGACCCCCCTTTCCCCCCCCCGCTGGTGTCGGGAGAGTGGGGGGTGGGCCAGGAAGCCGGCAGCAACTGCAACGGCATGGCGAGTCCAATGAGACCGCGAGTCCCTCCCCCCCTGTCCCACCCCCATGCGCGCGCGGGCAGGAAGGGGGGAAACTTGTCAACGACCATAGCCCACAGAGGCGGCGCCCTCGTGCGCCGCGCCGGGGTCGGCTTGGCCGGCCCTTAGGCATGCGCGGGCGTCGTCGCTGCGGGACCAGGGGTGACGAGCTCCCACCCTTTCCTCCCTGTCGCGGCAGGGTCATGGACAGAAGACGGAAAAGCACTCCGCTTGCGACGAGCGGGGAGGTTTAGCTGTCGACGTCGCGGTCAGCCCACTGCACGCGGGTTACGCCCGCGCACACTCGCGAGCGGGCCACGGGGCGGCGTGCCGCCCGGCTGGTCGTCGGCTCTGGCTGTGTGTGCAGGCGTAAATCCCATGCGGGGCCGAACGCGACGCGGACTTCTCCACCTTCCTGGGTACCCGAAGAGGCGTCTGCGGAGGAGCAGGCAGTGTCCCATGCCGTGCGGCCGGGTCTGGTGTTCTGGGCGGTTCCTGGTCTGCCCCCCCCCTCCGATAAGACGGGGGGGGGCCCGCCTCGCCGTCGGACGGGGTAACTGCCTTCGCCTGCGTCCTTTTGATTTTTGCTGCATGGCCGAATGCGAACAGGGCATCAGATGATGATAGCCCAGTGTTGGCTGGCTGGCTGGCTGGTTGTTTCGACCACCTGCCTACCCCTATCACTCCTTCATCCCCTCCCTTTCTACCCCGTCCTTCTTCCCCTGCCGCTGCTTGGTGCAGACCTCGAAAACAAGGCGGACACCAGCGTTAGGAAAAGTGTATTCAGCCGCAGTTCTGTTTAGCTACATATGATGCGCTCCAGGTATTTGCCTTCTGGCGAAAGGAGGCGGAAGGTTCGCGGAACCTGGCGGAAGTAAAACGACGGTGGCACCGCTGGCGGCGGAAGGCCGGCGGATGCTGGCAGAAGGAGAAGATGCGCTCCCAAGGTATGGCACCATTCTAGGGCTCAGGACTTCCTGAATCGGCCATGCAGTTGTTCGCCCTCACCCTGACCCGAGCTTCCGATCGCACCTTCAGCAGCAAAGCGCTGGCTTCGAAACCTGCGGGCTCCCGCGTGTTCGGGCGCGGCCCTGGGGACTGACGAGGGCAGGGCGCCGGCGAGTCGCAGGACCAGGCTGCCCTGGCGGCTCGCGGTCCACCGTGCCCTTCTCCCCCTCGTGGTCGATGGCTCGTGGCCCAGGCCACGTCCCATGGGCGCCGGGGCCCGGCGGGCGCAGCGTGGTGGGGGCGTGGCGTGCTGGGCGGCCGGGGGCTTCCCGGGGCCTCCCGGGGCGGTGGGCTCCCCCCGACAAGGGGGCCGGCCCGTGGCCCGGTGGGCTTCCACCGCAGCGTTTTGCTTCTTCCCGTGCTTCGCCACCGGGTTCCTGTACAAGGCGTTCCTTTGCATGCACATCGCCTTCGGCCCCGCCTGATTCCGGGGCTTTGCCCTCTCTTGGCCTTGACGTGAGGCCCCTCCTTCTGCCTTCCCCCCTCTGTCAATTCAAGCTGGGCGCGGCCCGCTTAGCTCCGACCGGAAGAGGCTCGCTCTCGACCCGCGGATCAAAAAAACCCGAGGCTCCCGCGGACGTGGGCGTCGGAGTATGGAAAGAAAAGTGCAGGTGAAACTGGAGTTAAGTCGGGCTTGTCCCTCTACAGGAGGAGTATATTTCAAAAAGGGTAAAACAATACTGAGGGGCCGATTTTTTTGGAGTATTTGTGGACTAGTTTGGGGTATTTTCTCACTACCTTTACTTTTTCGTCCAAAATCCACCTGTACGGGGGCACGCCCGACCTAAAACTCGACTCGGGGCACCGACGGCCCGTGGCCAATGCCAGCGGGCGCGTGGAAGCGAACGCGGGCAGTCGGTTTGTGAAAGCCGATCCCCTGGAGCAGATAGCACGCTGGTCGTTGAGAGTAGGTATTTTCGGATCCCCAGATTCCGATCTAATTACTTCGCGCGCCTTCCTACCTCAACCAACTGGCCTCCATCTACTTTGTCCGCCTTCCTACTTGATGTCGTCACCTACTTTTTCCTCTCGACGTGTATCGTTGCTCCAGGGTTGCGGATTTTGGCCCAGCGGGCAGGGGCTGATTCGCTGACGGGTGCCAGCCCTTTTTTTGCATGGGCGGAAACACTTTCAGGGATTGGCTGCGGTGTATCAGCCAATGATTCGCTGTCGATGTCCTGATCGATTCGCGGGAAGCGCGCAACATAACGGTAACGCGGAATTGTCGTTTGTTGTTGTTGTTGTTGTTGAACACTATTACTTCTAAAGAATTATTATTGTTGGACCCCCTGGTGCACGCCCCCCGCCCAAAACCTAGGCCGCAGCTACATTTTCATCATTTTTCTGCGAAAGCTTCAGAAAAGTGGATTACCCCCGGATCCGGTTTTTTGTTGACGCTCGTTTTCCCTTGCAAAAAACAATAGAAAATGAAAATTCTTGTTCTTAGTTGATCAAATTTCAAGAATCCCTTGCAAAAAATAAGGTAAAGTGGACATTCGCGCTCGCAAGACGAAATCCTTCCAAAACCTTAGGTTTCGTAACGATTTTAACATAAAAACATCAAAAACCCAATGGTTTTTTAAGAAAAAATTGTCAAAATGTCCTTCCGCGCGCTCTTGCGGAGGCACGGGTATCAGCCAGGCCCGCACGTGTATCAGCCAGGCAGCCGGGCACCCACGCGCCCGCTCCGCGCCATCGCAGACGACGATGCGTCGCGCCTTTAGTATGCTTCTGGATGCGAAGACCATTCGGTTGAGTATACCCCTACATGTGACTGGACCTGTTTGCGAAAGCAGGAGAAAGTATGGCACCCCTTTGTGTCCAGAGCCGCGCCGTCTGCGTTCTTCCTTTCTCGCTTCTCTCCTTTCCTCCTTGTCCTGCTCCTCCTCCCCCTCTTCCGCCTTGGAGCCGTATTGGAACTGTCGATGGCCATCTCCCTTTCTCCCTCGCATGTCTGCTTGTACATACGTATAATTTCAGAACTTACCGTGCATGCGATCGTTTACAACATGGTGGACCGTGCGTATGTCACGAACCTTGTATACATGTGTTTCTCTCCCTCCGTCTGGCTGTGCACGCGCGCGTTGGGCACTGAGAGTTAGGATCATAGCGCCATGAGTCTATGAGCAATGCATGCGTCATCCTTGGGACTGTATAACATCAGTGTAACACATGTACTTCTGTAATCGCATCCCCACGAATTTGCCCCAAAAATGTGACCAACTATCTTGGCACTGCGTACCATCTCACGTGTACCGTGTACCACATCATATGTAACAGATGTGATCAACCTCTGTGGGTGTGTACCCCACGCCAGTGTAGTAGCCAGGGTCGTCCGCACGCCACGAAGTGAAGTGTCCCAACGTCATAGGGCGGGAAGCTGGGTGTGGGTGGTCTCGAAGAGTCGTTTGGATATTTGGTAGAGCTTGAACGGCCCCCCCACGAAGTGGGGGTATTGGCTGGTGTCGCAAGAAAACCCTGGCACTGGGGAGAACACTGAGCGTTCGGGTAAAATGATTGTTGTTGTTGTTGTTGTTGTTGTTGTTGTTGTTGTTGTTGTTGTTGTTGTTGTTGTTACGCACATATGTTCAGCGACTTATTGCGCCGGCGTTGCCCGCCATGTGCGTCATTTCTCGCTCAGATGGGAACGCTGGGCGGGGCGGGCACAACACATCGGTTGCGTGGTCACCTGGTTCTATATCGTGGTGTTTTTATCCACTGCCTTCTCTCTTGCTGATCTTCTTGCGCTGCCAGTACGGTAGGTTCGCGTCGTGTCGACCGGCGGCGACCCCGCCGCCGACGTTCAACGTTGAACGCATACGGCGGCCCAGAATCGGTCGATGTTGAACGATCGGACGTTGCGGAGACGGCCGATCGTTCAAGGTTGAACTATCCAGCGCGGTGTCAGGAACCAACGCCAGGGTCGGCACGGCACGGACCTGCAGTATTCGATGCCATTCTTACTCGCTCAGGCGTCCTTTGTCTGCTCAATCCTGGTGGGTCTTACATCTTTGGGGCGTGTGCGGTACTACATGGGGTCCGCAGCTGTCGTTGGAAAGTAAATGCGGCGAATATGGTTGCTGCAATGGGCGCGCGGTGTTTCCAGCCTCTTCCGGCAAGGCACTGCTGTTGTATTCTGGGGTCCTTCCATTGGAGTGGAATCCTGAGTTACACTTTGCGCGCCAGGTGTGCCAGGCGGGACCCTGTGATGTTGAGATCGATGATCCTCAGGACCTGTGTTTGCCCGATGTGTATCCCCCAGCTCAGCACCATTGGCAGACCATCACATCGGTATTGAAGGACCTCAAAAGGGCAACACACGCGTTGTCGCTAGCACGCGTTCTGAGGCTAATCGATGGGAGCACGGATGCACTGTTTAGCATTCTTTAGGCACGCATTTTGGTGTCGACAGATCCCGCTACGACAGTAGCCGCCGTCTCGCGCAACGAAGCGGGCGCAGCAGTGCAAAAGAAAAAACGCCAGTTGTAGGCGGCTGGGACTTGTATGTATACGTATATAGGTACCAATAAGTAATATGTATATGGGAATACGTACATGAATGTGTCTTAGGACTATCAGATCCTATTCTACTTCAGGCGCCTTCCTTGGTGTTGTTGTTGTTCTTGTCGTTGTGGAACTCTCATTACTGAAGATTGTTGATCCTCCCCCTCCGGTGCACATTGTATTTTTTAATTGAGTGCCCCTCCCGGCGCTCGCACCATGTTTTTTTTTAAAGGGAAAGTCTTCCTCCTCAAATTGTGCCCCTGGCCCCCAGTTT